TACATGCAAATTAATAAAAATCGCCAAGCGTTGGTAATGTTCAATAAATCTTGGAATTGTAATAGATTTGAGCTGTTTGAATCTAGGGATTTTTCTATTTAAGATATGAGAAAACTTATTTCTACAAATATTTGATCAATTAGAAAAGTATTAATATAAAAGTAGCTGGTGGAGGGTATTTAAGATTCGGCTCAGCCGAATATAGCACTCTAACTTGTTATTTAATTAAATCTGCTGAATATTCTCAGAAAATAACTATTTTAAAACAGAATCTTTATTAGATCTTAAATGAATGTCTACGATGCCACTTTTGTATGCAGAATAAAAACTACTGAACAAAAATCGCTTCTAAAATAGGGAAAATAATATATTCATATTACATTTTCACTTAAATTCGATTTTTAAATCGGCTGTGGTTCCTTCCTTTAACACCTAAATCTATCTAGAAAATCATTCATATCTCCCCTTAAAATTTCTATTTATATAACTCTTTAAAAAATTACTTTAAATAACTTTCAATTTGATAAAACAATAAAGATCCGTAATCACTCATATTTTCCATACAAATCGAGTTTTATATCAAAAATAAAAAAATTTAAATTTATTGTTAATCGAGATAACAATAAAAATCTATGATCAGGTAAATATGCCATCAAAAAATGATTTTGATATAAATTCGGCTGCCATTTTTCAAATGCAGCTCAAATCTAAAAAACCATGAAGATATGTATTTGACTACTCATTAGAGTGTCCCGAAAGACAGCACTTTTGCAAATCTTATATAGGTAGACCTCTCAAACGATGCATAGAAAGCATTGTTCATATAAAATTTGGATAAATTGATCTTTTGATATCTCTTTATATTTTCAGAAAATTATCAACCAAAAATTCTGCACAACTTTTTCTGTATGTAGCGCCGTATTTATTCTAAGCTTTTCAAATTAAATTAAATTAATTAAATTAAATTAAATTAAATTAAATTAATTAATATTAATTATTAATTAATATTAATTATTAATTAATAATAATATAAAACAGACTGTTTGTTTGTTTGTTTGTTTGTTTGTTTGTGTGTTCGTTTGTTACGCTTTCACGGCAAAACAACTCAACCGATTTACATGAAATTTGGACAGCTCTATTAGCTGTAACCCCAAAAGGAACAATAGGCTATATAAGATCTTGATCGGATGCCACGCCCCTTTTTACGCCCACTTTTTGTAAAACTATTATTACACCAATTTTACAATTACAATATGAAAAACTTCTAAACCGATTAACCTGAAATTTTGCATACCGATAGGTATAAGCTTGGAAAGAACGATAGGCTATATATAAGAACTTAATCCGATGCCACGCCCTTTCTACGCCCGATTTTTATAAAACTATCCTTACCTATATCTTATCCTATAATTATATGAAAGAGAATGTCTGTTTGTTACGCTTTCACGGACAAACTACTGAACCGATTTACATGAAATTAAAACACTAATAGTTCTATTCTAAAGTAGAACAAGACCCTATATAAAATAATGATTTGACGTCACGATTCTTCTTATGCTCACTTTTTTCTATATAATTGTTATACAAAATTTTCATTCGAGACTTACAGAAAACTACTGAACCGATAGGTCTTATCTCAGGATCGCCATGCCCATTATTACACCAGCTTTTTTTAAAACAATCATTAAACCAAATTTACGTTCAGGCATACAAAAAACTACTGATCCGATTTTCATGAAATCTATTATAATGGATGTTGTGGTATGAACAGTACGACACATTACATCTTCAAAACCTATAATATAAATATAATAATAAATATATATGAAACTCTTTTTATACTCTTTCACTACTTAACTAATAAACTTATTTACATAAAATTTGGCGTTTAATAGGTCTAACCTCAGAAGTTAACAAGTTAGAGTGCTATATTCGGCTATGCCGAATCTTAAATACCCTCCACCAGCAAGCTACTTTTTATTAAAAACCATTTAACTATCTTATTATACCCTCCACCACCATCAGTGGTGATAGAGGGTATATATAAGTTTGTCATTCCGTGTGTAACACCAAAAAATATTCATCTTAGACCCAACAAAGTATATATATTCTGGATCCTTATGAAATTCTGAGTCGATTTATCAACCAAAACACTGAGAGTATTCATTGTTTTCCTAAGCAGTTTGGTATTGAAAATCAGCAAAATCGGTTCACAACGTAAAAAGTTATGAGTAAAAATTTCAGACTACCTCAAAAAAATTAAGTTTTTTTCCCCAATTCTTGAGTAGTTTTCTCAGAAACTACCAAAGATAATTCGACAAATTTTGTCACAGATTATTTTGTCCATCTATAGATTATGTTTAAAATTGTAACAATCGATCCCAAATTTCCCATAGCCCCCATACAAAGGTACATATTCCCGGAAATTACTTTATCGTTAATAACTTCCTCAAATATATCGGTATCAACACAAAATTTTGTACATATTGACTTTCTATGGACAGGAATTAAAACTACCGACTTAGATCTGTATCGGTCCACAATTGGTCATAACTCCCATATAAGGTCCACTTTCGAAAATCACTTAAATGAACATATTTTATTGAAAAATAAAGCTATCGGGATAAAATTCGACATGAATATGTTTTGTATATACATAAATCATTCTATGGAATTTTTTTCCGGATCGGTCCATAATTGGTCATTGCTCCCATATAAGGTTCACATCCGAAAATCACTTAAACGAGCATAATTCATAGATAAATAAAGCTATCTGGATAAAATTCGACATGAATGTGTTTTGTGTGTATATGAATTACTCTACGAAATTTGTTCCGGATCGGTCCAAATCCGAAAATCACTCAAATGCGCATAATTCATTGATTAATAAAGCTATCAGGGTAGAACCCGAGGTGAATATGTTCTGTATATAGATATAAATCATTCAGTGAAATTTTTTCCGGATCAGTTCACAATTGGTACTAGCTCCCATATAAGGTCCACATCCTAAAATCGCTTAAACAAGCTAATTCATTGATAAATAAAGCTATAGGGATAAAATTCGATATGAATATGTTTTGTGTATAAATATTAATTATTTTACGAATTTTTTTTTTCGGATCGGTCCATAATTGGTCATAGCTCACATATAAGGTCCACATCCGAAAATCACTTAAATGCGCATAATTCATTGATAAATGAAGCTATCAGGGTAAAACTCGACGTGAATTTGTTTTGTATATGTAAATCATTCGTGAAAAATTTTCACATCGGTCCATAATTGGTTACATTCCATATAAGGAATTTTTTCAGCATCGGTCCATAACTAGCTCCCATATAAGGTTCACTTCTGAAAACCACATAATACCACATAATTTATTATTAAACTCGACATGAGTATGTTCTGTGTATAGATAAATCATTTTGAATTTTTTTTTTCGAATTGGTACATTATTGGTCATAGTTCCCATATAAGTTATTGGCAGGATCGGAACATAATAGGTCGAAGAATAATCGGTCGATATCTGAAAATCACTTAATACAAATGTTTCTTGTCCTAATCAAAATTAGTTGCATACATACATGCATAAATAAGTTACAAAATGATAAATAGTATCTTAATTACGGAAACAAAACATGTGCCGGGTTTACAGTTCTCCATAAGGAAAATAAAGTACTTAGTATGTACTTTAATACTTAAGTAAAATTTATTTCTTTAGTATAAACTATAAATTCGGCCCTATAACATATTTATTTTGGGTTTTAATAAAAAGTAGTTTGCAGGTGGAGGGTATTTAAGATTCGGCAGTGCCGAATATAGCAATCTAACTTGTTTTTTATTTATATACATATGGATTCTGCTACAAAAGAACAGTTAATTGTTTAAGATCGAATCAAGACAAGAGAGCATTCTGCATTGATTAAAGTAAAGCTATGGTTGTTAGATCTTACATCGTTGGCAGTAAAATGTGCAGAAAATGTCTAACAACAGTATCAACTTACAAATTTTGTCTTACAACATTGTCAATAATGCTTGTTTTGACAACGTTGCAAAATAAAAATTAAGTTCACACGATTGTTAGACATTTTCTGCACATTTTACTGACAACGTTGTAAGATCTGACAACCGTGTATCACCGCTTTAATAGTAGTCGGACGGGACAAATCATTTGTACAGGTCCCGTGATTTTCTGGCAGCTCTTAATATATGGGATCTTTTGGTTGTATCAAATACAAATTAGTACCTTGCCTCCATGGTCATTCGAATTTTGCATTGCTTCAGCGGCCGGGCTTCACATACAATTACTGGCGTTTCATATGTGAAATTATTCGATATAAAAAAACTTCTATTTATGGCGTTTAAGACGCTTGCCGCAAATTAAATTTATTTAGAACCAAATCAGTGAGAATAAATGTCACGATATTTATGCTCCAAAATGCCTTATGTGCTATTAAATTTACAAACCATGTGAAAAAGAAGCACCATTCGATGTAAATTCCGCATTTTTTAATTATGCACCAAATAAATAATAATTAAAATCTGTGTTAAATAAAGTGCAGTGTTTTAAAACATCCAAACCATTTTACTCAAAATTGCACTTTTTCTTTTATATAAAACAACCGATTTTAAATCATTCCTACATTTCACTTCATTTTGAATTTGTCAACATTGTGTATATTTAAAAAACAAATTATGGAATCCACTTTCGATCGGAATTAAATTCTGGTATATGTACGAACATTTTATATCATTATAGGTAATAACTTGATTTAAAAATATATACTTGAACAGAGTCATTTACTCCTGTAATGCCCATAAGTTTTACGGCTGTTATTTCTTGAGCATACTGTTAAAGAAAATGTTATGTGTAATAAATCACACATAGGACATTGATACTAATTTCAGATATAAACACCATATCATTTAGCATAACTTTTAAATAATTTTACCATTCCATCTTTAAATTGGTTACGTAGAAATTACAAATACATAAATAAACTATTAGTTGCAAACGTATTTCATTAAAAATCACAATATCAAGTTCAAAGCGTTATCCAGTACAAATTGTTCTCATTACATTTGATAATTTTTTTTTTTTTTTTTAATATTTAACATGATTTACAATATGTCCAGTTTTGATAAATATTACCGTCTCTTTTTGTGGATCTTTTGAATTTTACGTCGTTTTAGAATCATGTCATATAAAGCTTCAAGTCCTTCTTGTAATCCTTCGCCAGTAATAGCACATGCAGGTTGTATATACCAACCCTTGTATTGGGTTGAAATGTTGCTTGTATTACTGCATGACTTTTGTAATATTGTAGAATTATTTATATTTGATGATGTGGCAGATGAAGTCAATTTAGAAATATTGTCATTGTGATGGCTAGTATTATTGGTAATGTTACAGCTGCTGGGTATACTGGATGAGGTTGGAGTACATACTAGTGAGGATGGAGAAGACTGGTGAGTTACTAAATTTGTCTGCAATTCGTGCGTTACTAGCGATTTTTGAGAAGTGTGTTGTTGGTTTGATTTAAGCTGCTGTTGTTGTTGATAATGATAGGAGTCTAGCAGTGAAGTCGATGAATAATTTTTTAATGAGGGCGCTTTATTTTGCATATCATTAATTACGCGGGTGCTTTGTTGATTGGATGGTGACGATGAAGACAGTTTTGAACTGATAACTGAAGAAGATGTATTCCCAACACCAATTTCCCCATAACCGCCGTCTTCTACGTTTTCATTTTCTGTGGCTTTTGTAGTAGCTACAATATTGCCAGTGGAAGAGGAACACGATTTTAGAACCGTACTTATATTGATAGAATTTGGTGTCAGCAGTTCATGTAACCCTAGCAGCTTTTCCAGTTCTTTAGGTTCGCGAGCACCAGGTAAGTCTTGTTTATTAGCCAATATTAGGACTGGAACCCCCTGAAAACACAATATAAAATATTATATAGTTTTTGTATATGACTTGCATTAACAACTAACTTATTCAGTTTTTAATTATAAGGATATAGTTTGCTCTCTTAATTTTAAACGATTGTTATTTTTTTAATTTCAAAATTATATAGTTCGGAATACCAGAAATAAATTATTTAAACCACAGAATTTTTAAAGACGCACAATTTAAACCATACATAAAATTTCTTTAAACGCATTTTTATACACTACACCTTGGGAACAATTAAAGATTGGGGAATATCAAAAATGTTTATAAAATATAGTCAATATAGTCAAACTCGCTTATAACGAAGTCGGTTATAACGAATACTCGGTTATTACGAACAACTTTTTCAGTCTCTATATTTGGTAACTATTTTCATAAAACGAACTACTTTTTCAGTCCCTCAATAAAAATTTCATAAAATTTTCCCCTTTTATAACGAATTTCAAAATTATGTATTGAAATCATATGAAATATTTAGCTTTGTTTAAACAAAAAAACTTAAATTTGTTAAGAAATATACATATAAACAAATGAAACCAATCGCTGTATTATGCAAAGAATATGAAATAAACTATAAAGCAGAGACTGAAAATAACTCGGCCACATAACCAAAGTGTTTGAATTGTGATTTATTTTTGTTTTTTAAAGTAAATCACTCAGAATAACAGTTATAAAATGATTTTTACTTAAATGGTTTAGTATAACCTTTACCAGTCTTGTTTTGTTTTTGTTTATGTTTTTGGCTGATCACTTGAAAGTGGGATATGTTGTTGTTTGCTATGATTTGTGAAGATAGTTTGTGTGTATGTGTGTCCTATTCATGCATTTAAGGGTGACCCTGCAGTTCGACAAAGAGTCAATGCATCCGAAAAAGACCGTGATTTCCACTAACTTCTAACCATCTGGTTGGCTCTAATTCGTCTTTCGTCACGGATGTACTTTGTAAACGAGGGTGAAGATAATCGTCACTTTAGTGTCCCCTTTGTAAGCGAGAGAGGGGACACTTAAAAAGCACTTCGTAACCTACGGGGTGACGATTGACTTCCTCGTAGGACAAGCACATGTTAAAATAGCTAGTCACCTGGACAGTTGGTGGCTTGGTGTAACCCTATGTGGTAGGTTAAATAGGGAGTTCGGGACTGTCCGACCGAACTGCTGGGGATGGCAACACGTCAAAATCTGGTCTAAACTTGTTTATGTGTTAGTAATTTATTCCAGCAATCATTGAGGAAGAAGAAGCATAAATTTCATTTTTATTTAGATTTTGCTACGGCAACATCATTTTTTTACCGCATGGTGATAAAAAAAATGTATGAAAAAATTGTATGCGCTATGTGTCTATACTGTTACGCATACAATTTTTACCATTATTATAGATGTAATTTTTGCTGTAAAAAGCAATTATTTATTTTTTTATTAATGAAAAAATGTTTTATTAAAAAACTGGATATTTTTCTTGGTATATTTCAAGTAAAATTTGGTACTGTGCGAAATTTCCATATTTCCATAATCCATATTTCATTTACCTTGCGGCAAAAAATGTGATGTTGTCTCACCAAAAACTAAATAAAGATGGACTTATACACTGATCCCCAATGTTAATGTATGGTGTAATAGAAAGCATGGGTATATAAACTTCTACCTTACGCAATTTGTAAGTGGTCATGGTTGTTTTAGATCATATCTGTATAGATTTGCACTCGACACTTCACCGCTTTGTCCTAGATGTGTCGAAATAGAGGAGAATGCAGAACATGTGTTCACGATTTAGCTCCGGAAGAGAAGCACTTGAGCAATTATTGGAAAGTAGAGTGTACCCAGACCATAGACTAGACCATAGACTACACTATAGACTAGACTATAGACTAGACTATAGACTAGACTATAGACTAGACTATAGAATAGACTATAGACTAGACTATAGACTAGACTATAGACTAGCCTTTAGACTAGACTATAGACTGGACTATAGACTAAACTATAGACTAGACTATAGATTAGACTATAGACTAGACTATAGACTAGACTATAGACTAGACTATAGACTAGACTATAGACTAGACTATAGACTAGACTATAGACAAGACTATAGACTAGACTATAGACTAGACTATAGACTAGACTATAGACTAAACTATAGACAAAACTATAGACTAGACTATAGACTAGACTATAGACTAGACTATAGACTAGACTATAGACTAGACTATAGACTAGACTATAGACTAGACTATAGACTAGACTATAGACTAGACTATAGACTAGACTATAGACTAGACTATAGACTAGACTATAGACTAGACTATAGACTAGACTACAGACTAGACTATAGACTAGACTATAGAATAGACTATAGACTAGACTATAGACTAGACTACAGACTAGACTATAGACTAGACTATAGACTAGACTATAGACTAGACTATAGACTAGACTATAGACTAGACTATAGACTATACTATAGACTATACTATAGACTAGACTATAGACTAGAATATAGACTAGACTATAAACTAGACTATAGACTAGACTATAGACTAGACTATAGACTAGACTATAGACTAGACTATAGACTAGACTATAGACTAGACTATAGACTAGACTATAGACTAGACTATAGACTAGACTATAGACTAGACTATAGACTAGACTATAGACTAGACTATAGACTAGACTATAGACTAGACTATAGACTAGACTATAGACTAGACTATAGACTAGACTATAGACTACACTATAGACTAGACTATAGACTAGACTATAGACTAGACTATAGACTAGACTATAGACTAGACTATAGACTAGACTATAGACTAGACTATAGACTAGACTATAGACTAGACTATAGACTAGACTATAGACTATACTATACACTAGACTATAGACTAGACTATAGACTACACTATAGACTAGACTATAGACTAGACTATAGACTAGACTATAGACTAGACTATAGACTAGACTATAGACTAGACTATAGACTAGACTAGACTAGACTATAGACTATACTATAACTAGACTATAGACTAGACTATAGACTAGACTATAGACTAGACTAGACTAGACTATAGACTAGACTATAGACTAGACTATGACTAGAACTATAGACTAGAATAGACTAGACTATAGACTAGACTATAGACTAGAGACTATAGACTAGACTAGACTAGACTATAGACTAGACTATAGACTAGACTATAGACTAGACTATAGACTAGACTATAGACTAGACTATAGACTAGACTATAGACTAGACTATAGACTACTATAGACTAGACTATAGACTAGACTATAGACTAGACTATAGACTAGACTATAGACTAGACTATAGACTAGACTATAGACTAGACTATAGACTAGACTATAGACTAGACTATAGACTAGACTATAGACTAGACTATAGACTAGACTATAGACTAGACTATAGACTAGACTATAGACTAGACTATAGACTAGACTATAGACTAGACTATAGACTAGACTATAGACTAGACTATAGACTAGACTATAGACTAGACTATAGACTAGACTATAGACTAGACTATAGACTAGACTATAGACTAGACTATAGACTAGACTATAGACTAGACTATAGACTAGACTATAGACTAGACTATAGACTAGACTATAGACTAGACTATAGACTAGACTATAGACTAGACTATAGACTAGACTATAGACTAGACTATAGACTAGACTATAGACTAGACTATAGACTAGACTATAGACTAGACTATAGACTAGACTATAGACTAGACTATAGACTAGACTATAGACTAGACTATAGACTAGACTATAGACTAGACTATAGACTAGACTATAGACTAGACTATAGACTAGACTAGACTATAGTACTAGACTAATAGACTAGACTATAGACTAGACGATAGACTAGACTATAGACTAGACTATAGACTAGACTATAGACTAGACTATAGAACTAGACTATAGACTAGACTATAGACTAGACTATAGACTAGACTATAGACTAGACTATAGACTAGACTATAGACTAGACTATAGACTAGACTATAGACGAGACTATAGACTAGACTATAGACTAGACTAAGACTAGACTATAGACTAGACTATAGACCTAGACCTATAGACTAGACTATAGACTAGACTATAGACTAGACTATAGACTAGACTATAGACTAGACTATAGACTAGACTATAGACTAACTAGACTATACTATAGACTAGACTATAGACTAGACTATAGACTATACTATAGACTAGACTATAGACTAGACTATAGACTAGACTATAGACTAGACTATAGACTAGACATAGACTAAGACTATAGACTAGACTATAGACTAGAACTATAGACTAGACTATAGACTAGACTACTAGACTAGACTATAGACTAGACTATGACTAGACTAGAGACTAGACTATAGACTAGACTATAGACTAGACTATAGACTAGACTATACTAGACTATAGACTAGACTATAGACTAGACTATAGACTAGACTATAGACTAGACTATAGACTAGACTATAGACTAGACTATAGACTAGACTATAGACTAGACTATAGACTAGACTATAGACTAGACTATAGACTAGACTATAGACTAGACTATAGACTAGACTATAGACTAGACTATAGACTAGACTATAGACTAGACTATAGACTAGACTATAGACTAGACTATAGACTAGACTATAGACTAGACTATAGACTAGACTATAGACTAGACTATAGACTAGACTATAGACTAGACTATAGACTAGACTATAGACTAGACTATAGACTAGACTATAGACTAGACTATAGACTAGACTATAGACTAGACTATAGACTAGACTATAGACTAGACTATAGACTAGACTATAGACTAGACTATAGACTAGACTATAGACTAGACTATAGACTAGACTATAGACTAGACTATAGACTAGACTATAGACTAGACTATAGACTAGACTATAGACTAGACTATAGACTAGACTATAGACTAGACTATAGA